ACGCATTTCGTGATGAAATTGTCAAAGTAACTCAGGGAGGCATTAGCCAATTCAAATGCGATGGAACCATTCCAGAGCTATGCCTTGATAAATGCGAAGGTAAACGCTCTAAACAGACAAGGGAATGACAATGCTCTCGAAACTCTGAACTGAATCAGTGATCGTGGACCGCATGAGTACACGTGTGAAGTCAATGTGCTGCTCAGTGCCGTAACACATCCCAGTATCCGATGTGCCACTTACTGGAGGGAGGCCGCACTCACAAATACAGGACATGTATATGGCACGATTTTCATTCGCATTCGAAGTCAGCGTGCCGCTTTGCATCGCGCAATTACAGAGAGCTCGAATCCGGAAGCAGATGGGAAGAAGGTCGCAGTCAGCGGAGAACATACAACTAGACCCTGAGGAGATTCTATTCTGCTCGCTCTGTTTTCTGTTCTGCCTGAAGACATGGATCCAGAAGAACCAGATGCTAGGGTAACTCAAAGGATGAGATGTACCCACTGCAGAGCATGGGTACACGCAGCATGTGGTCGCGGTGTTCGACGTCAAAACTGCAAGGCCTGCAAAACGGAGAGGTATCGCATTCATGTTTGAATGTACAGGAATGGACGACTAGAAATGTATCAATGCCGATGTAATGTAATATCGTATGTAATGTAATGTATATAATGTAATGTTTATAATGTAATGTATACAGTTGTATATAATTACGTAAATACTATTGTACATGTTAATGTAAATACTTTATCATCCGCACATAGTCTTAATAAGATTCCACAAAACTGCCAATATAATCACCATTCAACGACAAGTAGACACATGCAACAACACATGCACAGAGACTAGACTCACATAGAACCAAAGAGTACCACGACCTTGAATGGTTCACGGGTTCAAAATTATCGTACCAACAATCAAGGCTGACGGACCCAAATTTGGTTGCATGGAGAGGTAGTGTTAACCGGAGGAATTGAAAACGAGCACATGCACACCCTTCCTCGCACTAGAAGAGAATGTAAACAGGAATGACATCTGTTATAGATTTCTTGACCCCTTTCATAGCGTGCCTTTTCCGCAAGAGGTCATAGCGCCGATATTCTGATCACATCGGATTTTACAATACTGTTACGACATAGAATTGACGCCAGTGAATTAACACAAGAGCAGCGCCTTTACTAAGATTACTATCAGATGAATAATGCAAAAAAAAGTGTTCTTTGTTTACTAATCACGTTCCATGGTTTTTTTTCGTCGCCAGCATAGAAGTAAAAGCGTGGGGAATCGCGCACGTTCCACCTCGCTTCACTTCCATACTAGCAAATTGTAAGGAAAGTCCGAAACGAAAGGTGCGCGTCCCAACACCGCCACCCATCTGGAAAAATTTTGGGTGTGTTAATTTACAAAAAAGTATAACCGACGAAACAAAACGGATCGGAGAAAATATTGGCAAGAAAGAAGGACTGGGTAGAAGTTAGAGGCCGAAAAGAAAAAAAAGAAGGAAGAAGTCAGCGAATGCAGCTGTGAATTAGCAAGTCCAGTCGCTCCAGTCGCTTTTATTTATTTATTTATTTATTTATTTATTCTGCGTCCACCGGACGCGCCAAGGTCATTCAATAATAGCAGGTCAGTAGGTGAAACACGTAGTATTGACTAAGGAAAGATATAAATTAAAAACTCAGCTTAAACAGAGATTACAACATTACATTTTAGCATTGAAGAGCGACGCAGCCGTTCACTCGCGCAATTGACGCAATCGCGCGCAGGCGCGACCAATCGCTTGAACGCGCGGTCGAAGTGCTGCCGTCGTGAATTCTGAGCGCTGCCTGACGGAGGACAGTACGATCATCAGCGCTCTGCGAAGACTAAGCCTGGCCCAAAGGGATCACTCCTTCCGACTCAGCATTAAAAGAGCGCTAAATGACACTGGAAAATGATTGGCAATTCGTGATCAGGGCACCAAATAGCCCGTAATAGATTTACCTTTTTTGAGTTCTCGGTGTTGTAATAGTTGAACAGTGCCATGTTGTCATATCATATCATTTCGTACTTTCTGGTATGTTGACGGGATTCCATTGTTCCGCCTCAGCATCAACATCTATAATACTTGTAGAGTTTTGCAACGATTATATGATCATCCCATCGTCAGCTCCACCGTGCACTGCCGGTGCTTATCTGTTCGCTCACACCAAAGCCGGTAATCTGCAGAACTCAAGGCGACTTTTTGTCCTTCTTTTCTGAGAATTCGGAATTTTCATAAGAATCCAAATTCATTTCAAAGTGACTTCTTCCACAGTTTTTTTACTCGAGGTTTTCCCGATTTTCGATTTCTATGATTGTTTTGATGGAACAATTTCATCTCATGTTGACTGCCCAATCTGTCATAAAAGGTGACAAACAGGGGAGGTCGTTCAGGGAGTGATGAGCTTCGTGAAAATGGTTCGTTGCATAATGTAGGGACACATACGGCTAGGACTAGAAGAACTGAGGTCCCTTTTCGCTGCGCGTTTCTAGGGATAAAAAAAACAAAAAAGGATCGTTTCGGTTCGGACCTTCAAGGGAACAAACTTTTCTTCTCTACAATTTTTTGGCTCCATGTTTGTTTATCTACTTTGTCCTAATAGAAATATTCACGAAAAACCTAACAGCCTTTTTTTATGGCACAAAACTGTTTTTTCTTTCAAATTCGGTAGTAATAATAGGCTCGGCGTTTTGCTGGCACCAGATGGCACTGGCGGCAAAAAAAGTATCGAAATCGTGATCAGGACTTTCCCGATTACTCCTAGAGACAAGTTTTGAGCTAAAAAATTTTTTCATTACTTTTTGGGGTTGTGGATGACCACTTGGCAATGTGAGTGGAGTCCCACATCTTCGTAACAGCGATGACGTATCGATGATGCCACGGATCCCGACAACCGTACCATCAGCTTAATGCGAATAAGCTCTTTTAATGCATGGCAAGCGTCTGAGTAGGCGCTGGATACGTGAGTAAGTATTCTGGAACGTCCCCAACTTCAACGTCCTCTATATGAGTGTACATAACGAGTGCAGTGAAAGGAAGGTGTGGCTACAATTTGGCGACAATTGACACCACAGCCGGAAGGTATTGCTATATTCGTGATCAGATCACTAATTAGCCTATAAAGATCAGCGTTCAACAACAATTTTGTTTAATGGTGGGTGTGAAAACCTGAATAGATGAATAGAGTGACTCATGGGGTACAGTTACTTAGAGCCCATAAATGGCAAATATCCAACTTATTTTCATGCATAGACACAAATGGACAACAGCGAAAACTGAAAAATGTGAAAAACGCGGAGCTCAAGGGGACTCGAACCATCAACCTTACCCTCACTGGCCGATTGGAACTTCTTCACGTCCACTAGGCCGTCCAGTCGTTGTCGATGTGTGCCGCTTCGACTGTTGAAGAAACCATTTCGAGGGACCGTGCGCTCTTCAGCATGTGACTCCAGTTGACCCTCATTTGTGATGATTTTTCGCTTTGATTCAAGAGTCCCTGCACTAGGATCCTACTCAGCAACTGGTCAAACTTGCAAGTGGTTTACAGCGCACAGGGGCCCCAAACGGAGCAGTTTCCAAGGACTTTTTTTTCACTCGTTTTTCACCTTTCCTGGAAGCGCGCAGCGAAAATGAAGCACACTTTTCAGGTCCTTGCATGAGCCCCTACAATATGCAAAGAAACCGTTTTCGAAAAGCGCACAACGCCATGAACGATCTCCATTGTAGGTATGATACACTTGCAAGTTTTTCCGGTTCAACACAGGAACAGCTCGTCAATAATGTGTTCTGACCACTACGACTAAGCAGATGTTGAAAGGCTACAAGATTATACAGTAAATGATGTGCCCTGTGTTAGAGGAGTACATGCTCAGCAACTACATTTGTTATATGGACTTATAAGCAACACGGCTTATTACTGTTGGAGGTGCTGTAGAGCACCTAGCATCTCCTCAGGCCTGCCTGCGGCATGACCTCACTTAATTGCTGCGCTAACTGCTGACCTCTCACTGGCTGCTCAACGAAACGAGATAAATCGAATGGAACTCATCGGGCAGTAGGAACGGGTACGTGAAGATTAGTAATTTTGTTCAATTCTATGAAAGAATGAGTATAAATGCCTACGTTGAAAAAAAACTCTGGCAACTTCTTCACAAATTTGTGTTGATAGGTGCACACCTTACGACCTTGCGAAGGCAAAGTACATGATTGATCAGCTTTCACACTCTTTTCCTCTTCGAGCCTCTCTATTGAACTTGCTATCCTCACACCCAATTCAAAATTCATCTGAAAAAAACATTTGTAAAGCTGGACGAGAACAGCATCAACCCACATCGTTTGTATGTGTCGCTGCGTGAGCTGCTTCCAAATTCTTACTACAGTGGGTTCTATCAAGACACTTCCATGCACACACTCTTCACAGCTTCTGCTCCATCCGATACCCTACACGCGTCTGCTGCTCTAACGTCGGCCCAACCAGTCATACGGATATCCTCTGCATGGCTCCCTCAGCGTTGGTTGATCTTCATAATAATTCTGTCCGAGCACTCACACCTGCTTATTTCCTGACATCTACCCCACTTCAGAGCACTCCTTCGGAAATACTCATTGGTTCAGTGATTTAAATTCGAAGAATGTTATCAGAACGGGCCCAGTAGAAGACTTTTGCAGAAGGATGGCTAGATACGTAGCCAGTGAAACTATGTAGTATTTGGAACATTAATTAGTGTATTTTGATAGTTTCGTTGCGAATTTGATGCCGGTATAATGAAATACCGGAGTCTTCTTCGATATAAATACCGGAGTCTTCTTCGATACCGGACGGTGAGCGGTCGGTTCACTCCACTCTCTCCGAACCGACGTCTTCTTCGACTCGCCTCGTCAGCATAGAAGATACTCCTTGGCCCAGGAAGCACTGGAACGGCCGGGTCAAGTATGTTCCACCCTCTATTCAATTCCATTCACTTCGCCACACTTAATGTTAGAAGACTTTCCAAACAGAGAACGACTCGTCGAACTTCAAGAAGGACTCAGAAGAACATTTTTGGACATCCTCGCAGTTACGGAGCTACGATGGAAAGGAACAGGGAGTATAGACCTCGAAGACTCAGATTATAAATTCTTCCATGCTGGGCCTGAAGACACACAAGGACCATCTGGAACCGGTTTTTTCGTGAGTCGCCGCCTTCTTCCTTTCGTGGATGCTTTTTCAAGAGAAAACGACAGAATGTCTCGTTTGGATGTACGATTTGATGCGAATTTGTATCGGTTTTTGGCGGTATATGTACCCCCTTCAGCAAGTTCCACAGCAGAAGACGACGAACAATATTGTGCACATGTCGAAAACATTCAAGCCATCATACTTGACTCCGCAAACAAGTATACACCATGCGGAGTAAGACCGACGTCGAAAATGATGCACGATACGTCGAAAATACATCCAATTGTATTGGGCGATTTTAATGCACATTTAGGGAAGAAGACAAATGACATGGAAAGTTCTCTTGGAAGGCATACGTACGATAGTTGTCGAAATACACGAGGGCAAATACTTGTAGACTTCTGCGAAGAACTACAACTTCGGGCAGCTGCCACGTTTTTCAAGACCAGGAATGGACGAAAGTGGACCTGGAGATCTCCGAACGGGAAGACTTTTAGCTGTATCGACCATATATTTGCATGCCGTCAACTTACCTATGGAGCCCATTGTTGAGGAAGGACGTATTGAAGTGAGAAAGTCCAACACGTATTCACTCGTCTACTTTGGTTTAGGTCCACAAACTGTACTGGTCGGTACGATATCCCTCCCTACAGGGTTCGACTGAGGGCGTTTTCCTTGCATACGTTGCAGTATAGACGGATTTTATCTGATTTGGTGTTTTGCTTCCGTATTATTCGGAAGGAGGTCAAGCTAAGGGCTAGTAAGTACTGGAGCTTCAGTCCAACCACTGAAAGGCTGGGTGGGTTGAATCTTCACTATGACCACATCTACCCAAAGAACTATTCATTAATGTTCAATATAGTGTTTAATCGTTGCGCAAGATGGTTCGAGCTGCTACCGCCTTACGTTCTTCAAGCAAATAATAGTAAGTCGTTCAAGAGCAGGCTGAGTGAGCTTGACCTCTTGCGCATCTTAAGAATACCTGACTTGGTTTAACCTCGGTTACTTTCTCGTCTTTCTTTCTCGTGTTTCAGTCTCAACGCTGGGTGTCTGGTCAATGTCTTCTAGTGCGTGGTTGGTTCGTTCACAACCGGTGGTCTATCTTGCAAGATGATAAGAAACTGTTGCGTTAGCTGGACAAACTTTGTATTCAGGGAGTGACTGAATACTCCCGTCTATTATTTGCTATTTCATGATTGAGATCAGGTCACGTACTTCGGCAATATGTTCTTAGGCACCTTCTTTTGCTAATAGGAGGCTGTAGGCTGGTTAATTAAAAGTATGCTTTGGAGAACGGCCGCGGGCTCGAACTGTGTTACCAGTTGTTTGATGAGCCGGAGGGGTGATGAACCCCTCGCTTGAGGTCCCCCTTGGTTTGTTCGCCTGGGGTCCCGGACGAATTCGTTCGTAACGGGTTAAGTTGTCAGCAAGCCCCAGTACTGTCGTCTAAAATCCTTGCGTTCAGAACCAAGGACCAGGATCTCGCGGGGGACTCTTTCATCTGCCTGAAGGGGAAAACAGCCTTACACTACACACAAGGAAGGTCCCGGTGATTTTTCTGATTCCGCTTCGAAACACAGCCTATATGCTTTACCTAGATTTCCTTTGAATTATTCCTAATTTTTTTTTGCTCATTTAAATGATATTGTGTTGTTTCCAAATGTTTTATTCTTTTTTTATCAGTATACCTGGCTGTATTATGCACTAACTGTGTTGGTTTCACTTTCCCATAACTTGCGGCGCACCCTTGAGTGTATATCAATAAATAAATAAACAAATAAACTTCGTTTCAACAGCATCAGAACAGGATAGATACAGTTCGAAACTGATCATCGGCTTCTACGAGGAATTTTAGAGATACACAGCTGCACTACCAGAATGAGAAAGAGAACACGTTCGAAGTCTTATCTAGACCGAGACGCTTACCAGATGGAACTGGCCAGAATTTGTCCTCGAACCATTCAAGATCCATCGAATCGTTATCGAGAAATATGCAGGTATATCAGGAACGCGGCATCTGTGGCTACAAGACGTACCCAAGCTCGCCACTACCTTTCCACTGACACCCTATCACTAATGAGACAGCAACTGAAGAGAGAGATGAATACGCTAACAGACCGAGTAGCATACATCGAAACTTGCAAATTGCTGAGAAGGATGATAAGAAACGATATTCGTTTACATCATCGTGATCTTGTTCAGAAAGCGATTGCTACTGGTGGAAGCTTGAAGATGGTGCAAAACCAAATGTCAGTTGGTCGGCGACAACCGACTCAGCTGCGCGACAAGAAAGGGAAACTATGTGTGTCGAGGAACGAAATCAAAGAAGTTATAAGGGAGTATTATGACCAGCTGTACACATCGCAAAGCATGGTGCCCTACACACAATGGAAGAAAGACGATGATGATTGTGCACCAATCCTCCCGAGCGAGGTAGAAACAGCTTTGAAAACACAAATGCCAGGAAAACTCCAGGACACGATCTTAACGACGGAAATGTTGCAGTGGGGTGCAGTTAACCTTATACCACTAATTACTGAGCTTTTCAATGAATGCCTCCGCACCGGTTCCGTCCCAGAGGGAATGGCAGACTCTATAACTATCCTACTCCATAAAAATGGGGACCCCAGAGAGCTCAAAAACTACCGTCCCATTTCATTGCTGCCTGTCCTGTATAAGCTTGTTAACAAAGGTGATCAACGAACGCTTAGAAAAGCTTTTAGATAGCGAACAACCTAACGAACAGGCCGGTTTTCGAAAACGTTTCTCCACGATAGACCATATTCACGCTATCAATGAGATTATTGAGAAGAGCCACGAATATCACTTGGAGATCTTCATTGCATTTGTCGATTATGAGAAGGCTTTCGATACAGTTGAAATGAATGCCCTGTGGAACGCTTTGCAAGAACAAGGAGTTCACACCCAAATAATTTCCCTTCTTCGCCATATATATACCACAGCCCAATCAAAAGTCCGATTTTGTGAGGAACATATACCCATACAGATAAATCGCGGAGTTCGCCAAGGAGATACTATTTCACCAAAATTATTCATTGCTACTCTCGAGCATATATTCCGAAAACTGGAATGGTCCACCTATGGACTGACAATCAACGGAACCCAAGTGAACAACCTTCGATTCGCTGATGATGTCGTCCTTATTGCGAAGTCCGAGGAAGAATTACAAACAATGATAGATGACCTCGACAAAAACTCTAGATGTTGTGGGCTAAAAATAAATTCTGCAAAATAAAGATAATGGCAAGAACAACGGCAACGATCTTCTATAGGGATGTTCAGCTAGACCAAGTGCAGACATTCACCTATCTCGGACAAGAAATTTCTCTGTATCATGATTTTTCCGGAGAGATCACACGACGCATTCACATCGGTTGGGGAAGATTTCTGCGATACAAGGAATTTTTCACATCGAGAAGCGTGGAAATGAAATGGAAACGTCGACTGTTCGACATGTGCGTATTGCCTGCTATGCTATATGGCTCCGAAACATGGGTGTTAACAAGAACAATGAAAGACAGACTCATACGTGCACAAAGAAAGATGGAGCGTCGCATGGTAGGAGTACGTCTTCTGGATCATAAGACAAATGCCTGGTTACGTGGGGTGACGAAAGTTAAGGATGTGGTGGAGAAAGCCTTAGAAAGGAAGTGGAGTTACGCCTGGGAAATGGCTCGTTCAAGTAGAAACAAGTGGTCAAAACTGCTCACGGAATGGCACCCATATTTGCGAAGACGGATTGGACGACCGAAATCCCGATGGAGAGATGAGTTTAAGAAAGTGCTGATTACGTGCAATTGGCAAAATGCGGCAAGATGCATGACGAAGAAGGAATGGATTGATCTAATGAGGTGCCACATATTGTAAAATATTGACATGGCAAATAAATAAAAAAATAAAATAATGAAATACCAGTTGAGCGGACGCGCGTACGGTTCAGTGCATGGCTGTGACGTAAGTTATGTATTTGCTGACCCTCCGCTTTTGATGCCACTTGTCTCCCCTTGTCAACTACTATTACCTTCTGCCACCTACCAAAGATGCTTACGTCAGCCCCCTATATCACTTATTGGAACCAACAGTCACGCCGCAGGCAGGCCTCAGGAGATGCTAGCTGCTAGTACTTCCTACAGTATCCCAGCTAAAGCCCGCCGCCCTTCTTCTGGTGGGATGCTTTGCACACAGCGGCGTACAACGTCTGACTTCAGGGCATGTAAAACTGGAAAGTACACTTTGCATGTGTGAGTGATAATCAAGCCAGGTTCAACAGCAAGCACAACACATGCAACAACAGTTCACGGAGATCATTGATGGCATGCACAGGTCTTCGACGTATGCAGTTGGATGAAACTAAAGACACCACTACAGGTATCATAGAGGCACAATTATCATAACAACGAGTGAGATCGGCGGACCCAAACTTGGTCCCATAATTGAATCTCAAGCAGTGTTGAAAGAGCAAAGGACAAATTAAACAAGTAATAAATCATTCCTATGGCTTGCTATAGGAGAAGGAGGGCTGAACTAAATTCTTAGCTTTCCCACTCAAGAGATCACGGCTGCCGATATTGTGGTCATACTGAACCTTACAACATTAACAGCCGACAGTAACATAACAGGGAGGTGACGTGGGGACTCCTTGCTAATCTGAGTGCTCTAACGGGGAATGAAGGCTATTTTTGGTTCTCACCCATGGTCTTTTCGATACCAGCTTAAAAGTGAAAACGTGTTGTGTTGCAAACTTTCCCCTTGCCTCAATTCCATACGAATGAACAATGATGAATAAAGAATCCAAGGTGAACCTTATTGCTAGCGAAGAACAGTCCAATAAGAAGAACAATATGAAGGTGGACTATGGGACGTGGGATATGACATTCTATTGGTTGTGAAAAAGTCGAAATGCACTCAATATGAAGAAGAAATTATACGAATGCAAACAACACAAAAACAGTGAAAATTTCGACAGTAGAACAGAATTTCAGATTGCTGTGTGCCGATGGCATCATTAGTGAACGGTTACAATCAAAGCAGAATCAAAATTAGATCCCTACAAGCGAAGATCTGATCTTTTGGACCTCTCTGGAAATACAGGAATTGAAAAAAGAACTCATCTGTCTGCACATGCAAGCTTTACATACGCGAAACTCACATCCTTCTGCTATCTATGCGTATGGCTCGAACGCATGGCGCACTGCAGAGTTAGACAATTGACGCCGAATAGGCTGTTTCCTATTCAAGCTGACAGAAAGATGAGTGCAGTGGGTCTTTGGGAATTTCTGGTATTATCTGTCCTCCCACGTCTGCATGACATTGTATGCCCACGGTCCACTCTGGAGCCCATCCTCGTAGAAAAGTTACCCTGACTCGCTGCATGTTTTTAGGCCTTTCGATGCCTTATCAGCCACAGTCTCCACTTCTCTGTGTTCTGAATTTTCGCGTCTGGACCTTTGCCAAAAGTTCTACGATCTAAATGTCAGTACCAGGTCTCGCTGCTTTTTTTATTTTGCGAATGGTCAAAAGTCGGGAAGTAGAGATTATTTATAATGTGTTCGATATATTTTGGTAAAACCTTAATATCACTCACAGACTCCACCATACGTAACCGGGTTCATATTAAAGGCAAGCTTGCCTTCAAATCCATCACGAAAGCAGACAACATGATTGCTCGCAATGAAATCTTCGTCACAAAGCGTGCTATGCAGCAATCATGTTTCTAGTTAGGTTTTCAAATACGTTATCGCATGTCAGTCCTATCGCCGGCTGGCTTCGGCGCTCCTCCTGTGGCAGCTTCAGCAAGCGGGTACATCCGGGACGCGCATACCTTCTTTCGTTGTGTTACGATACCCTTGGTGTTCCCACACCCCTTCCCCATTACCCATACCTACAGCTGCGAAAAAAGCGGATTAAGCCACAATATTGCGTCTCAAACGAACTGAAGCTCCTCTTCAACAGCAATACAGTGGAACATGGATGGGAAAGATAGCGGGATTCCGAAAGAAAACAATTCAGCGCTCTGAATGTGGTTGCGTACTGCTAAACTTTATTATAGTCTTCATCATCCGTGGAATCGACTCCACAAGAGCTTCAGGGATATCCACGGGTATTCGACTGAAAATCCTTCGAATTCATCTAGCTGCTCACTCGTGTTGGTGGTTTCTTTCCTTTGATTCATGCTTCTGGTCATCTCAGTGATGGAGTAGAGGTGAAGGCTTCCACTCGGCCATCTTGTCATCCGGATGCTGGTTTTGGGCCTTGGGTGTTGGAAGCTATATTTCACGAACTTCTTAGTTTGCTTGAGGTCGCTCTCACTGAGCTGAAAACAGTTCTTGCCACGCTACTTTATCTATATCCGTAATAGTACGGGACCCAAGTCAAGGAAAACTAAAAAACAATCTGATGGCAAATCATAATACTTTGGCTTGTTCCAAGTTTTTTTCCGCTGCTGTATATGGTCACCGCTCCTTATCCATTAGTATCTTACCTATTACCTTGAGCCATAGTATGTGATCGTCGTTAATAGGGGGTCAAACTTACGCAGTGAAGAACTCCCCAGTCTGCGCAACTCCCCCCGTCTCCCTCTAAGACTGAGAGTCGATACCACCCTCCTCTAATTCTCTATTTGCTGTGCTGATTGCTGCTCTTAGAG